TTATTATTATTATTATTATTATTATTATTATTATTATTATTATTATTTGCGGTGGCCTAGAGGGGGAGCACTCGCCTCACAATCAGGAGGCTTTGAGCTCGAGCCTAGGCAGAGACAGATATTTCTCTCTCAGGACACGATGAGAATTTATCTGCTGAAAAAAACCGTCCGCATTGGTGACAGGAAGGGCATCTGGCCAGGATAACACTTAGCTCCATTCAGTTACCCAGAATCCACCCCGCAAGGGATTATGGGGGGAGGAGGAGGAGGAGGAAGAAGAAGAAGAAGAAGAAGAGGAAGAAGAAGAATTGCTTGAGCTTCATTCCTATTACCTAAACCCCAGAAACAAAACATGGCTTTAAAAGAATGGGTTGTAACATGTTCCTCATTAAAAGCAATCCTTCCTGTAGTTTTAACTTCAATTTTCAGCCAACAATTGTTATTACAAAGAAAAGTACTAGAAATTTAGTTTCCTGGCCTATGATTTTATTATTGCGGCGGAACTTATTAATAGAACCATCATAAGCGCTTGGATAAACCTTTAACTATAGCATAGATATGGAGAAGCAGCCATACGGCCTTTCTAAGTCTTGATGTAACTTATTAGCAACCTATTTAGAAAAGCGAAGTCTTGATGGAACATATTAGCAACGTACAGGTGATCTTCGACTTACAACCACAATGGAACCCAAAATGTTTGCTGCAAAACAAGACAGTTGTTAAGTGAATTTTGTCCCGTTTTACGATGTATCACAGCCCAATCCAGTGTGGTTTCCACCATCTACTGACCACCTTAGACTCTTTGGTTAAATCTAAAATGGCCTCTTTGGGTGCCACCCACAAACTACTTTTTTAGAAGTCTGTAGAGATTCTCAGTTCTCCAGGTCAGGGTTGTCCCCAAGGTGCTTTTTTTTCAGAAGGCAACTGGATTTCTGGTTTTTTCTTTTGAAGACGTTTCGCTTCTCATCCAAGAAGCTTCTTCAGCTCTGAGCGGATGGCGGGGAACAGAAGGATTGATATTTCTTGCAGACAGCTGGTCATTTGCATCCTTTTAGAGAGACTTGAGGCCACTTGGAAGTTTATTTGTGACTGGATGGTGGGGAATGGAAGGATTTATACTCCTTGCAAACAGCTGGTCATTTGCATCCTTTTAGATGGTCATTGAGGCCACTTGGAGGGTTTATCTGTGCCCTCAGTGTTACCTGAGTGGTGCAAATGGTTCCTGTAGTCTGCAATCCCTTTGGAAAGTCCAGTTGCCTCCTGAAAAAGGACCACCAGGACTTGGAGGACAGAGAATCTCTACAGACTTTTAGCTATACAATTTGGGATGAACACTCTTCGGATGGTGTAGGAGTAGGAACGGATTTCCAGTATTGCAGACTATAGGAACCAGATAAACAGATAAACCCTCAAGTAACTTCAACGGCTCCCTAAAATGGATGCAAATGACCAGCTGCCTGCAAGGAGTATAAATCCTTCCTTTCCCCACCATTCAGTCAGAGCTGAAGAAGCTTCTTGGATGAGAAGCGAAACATTTTCAAAAGGAAAAAACAACAACAAGTAAATCCAGTTGCCTCCAGAAAAAAACGCACCCGATTTGGGATACTTTTCTTAGAAATACATTTTAGCGACAGGAATTCAATTTCTGGATGGCAGTGAGTCATTCCCTAACAAGTGTCTGTCTGTGCATGTCATAGGATGACGCTCGATTTAAAAGATAATTGAAGTCGGACAATGCGCTGACTCTGTGAGATGTTTCTGCTGGTGATGAAAATGGCATCTTTTCATCCGGTTTGAAATACTCTCTACTATTCCTTTCGCAAAGGGAAAGTTTTGCACGAAAAGTATTGTTTATATATGTGTTCCTGCTTTAGTGGCCAATTTTGCTTCTGAGTGAGCAGATAAATACGTGCATTTCTATTACCACCACGATTTTTTAGTGAATCACTGCATGTGTCAAGTTAGTGACACGGTTGCTAAGCGAATCTGGCTTCCCCATTGCTCATCAGAAGGTTGTAAAAGGGAATCACATGACCCAGGGTCACACCCTGAATGTCCGAGTCTGAGAAGAAGGGAGATGAACAGCTGACGGGGAGCAGGAGTGTGGCTCCATTGGCTGTGGAGGAAACTGGGGAAGGGCAAAGTCCAACTGGGCAGAGCAGGGGAGAGGTAGAACAAGGGAGAGGGAGTTCAGAGGAAGATCCAGGCCCACCCCCTCTTCATTCTAGGGCACGCAGGGAGGAACGGAGAAGGGAGCAACGTGGGTTGCGTGGCTTACGGGAGTGGAAAGGGCCCTGATTCCCTTCATTAGCCACAGCTGGGAAGAGAGTTTAAAAGAGATGCATGCTGAGTGTGGCAGGTGCTGGGAACAAACATGAGTTTATCTTGTGTTGACTTTGCTTATCTGCGTTCCTGGCTTCTTCCCAACCGTATTGAGTTATTGTCGTGCTTTCAAGTCTGGAATTCCTTCTCCTGCCCAGCCTGACTAATGACCTCATTTTGCCTTGATTGGACTTATAGTTACAGTTTTTGTTGACCGTATTTTGGACTTGATTCTCTGCAGCCAGAGGCTGTTTTTCTCCAGCCCAGAAGGTAACCAGGACATTGGGGGCAAAGTTGGAGCTAATAGAGGGATTCCTACTGATTACCTGACTGTGATGCCTTTGTGCCACACCTCTTTGGGTCATCACACCCCGGGACACAGCGACCGTCATAAATATGCATCAGTTGCCCAACGTCTGAATTTAGATCATGTGATTGCGGGGATGCCGCAACAGTTGTAAGTGTGAAAAACTTCATGTCCCCTTGTTCAGTGCCATTAGGAAGTTGAACTGTCATTAAACAAACCATTGTAAGTCGAGGACTACCTGTATTAAATAAATACACTTTTAAACTATAGGAAAACAAAGAGTGTTGGTGACACAAAGCAGTTTCAGCACATCTGACCGTTGCCGTATGATTGGAAACTGTTAACCATAGCCCTCCTTCACACGGGCCGCATATTTCTGTGCAAGTTACTGCTTCAAAATTGTATTTTATATTCAGGAACATATAACAGGGTCGCATTATAGG